CTTGAGGTATTTATATACACTGATTAGACCCCCTCTCAGCCTTCTCTTCTCCAGGCTGAACAGGCCCAGCTCCCTCAGCCTCTCCTCATAGGGCAGATGTTCCAGGCCCCTGATCATCCTTGTAGCCCTGCGCTGGATTCTCTCCAGCAGCTCCACATCCCTCTTGTACTGTGGAGTCCAGAACTGGACACAATACTCCAGATGCGGCCTCCCCAGGGCTGAGTAGAGGGGCAGGATTACCTCCCTCCACCTGCTGGAGATGCTCTTCTTAACGCACCCCAGGATACTGTTGGACTTCCTGGCCACGAGGGCACACTGCTGCCTCATGGTCACCTCGTTGTCCACCATGACACCCATGTCTGCAGAGCTGCTCTCCAGAAGGTCAGTCCCCAGCCTGTACTGGTGTCTGGGGTTATTCCTCCCCAGGTGCAGGACCTTGCACTTGGCCTTGTTGAATTGCATGAGGTTTTTCACCGCCCAGTTGTCCAGTCTGTCCAGGTCCCTCTGGATGGCAGCGCAGCCCTCTGGGGTATCGGCTACTCCTCCCAGTTTCGTGTCATCAGCAAACTTGCTGAGGGAGCACTCTGTGCCTTCATCCAGGTCACTGATGAATAAAGTGAACAGGACTGGACCAAGGACTGATCCCTGGGGGACACAGCGAGCCACAAGCCTCCAACTAGACTTTGCAATATTCACTTGTATTTTTTGTCGTTTTGTTGTCTTCATCTCCTGTACTTTCTTCTGGACCTGATAAACAAGTGGCAGACTGAATTAAGCTACTTGAAAAGAATTAGGCCAAATTCTCCAATATCTGCTGTAACTAGTGGATATATAGTGGATAGTAAGTGACCAAAGATGCCAACATCCCCTATTGTATTTGGAAAAAAGGAAAATCAGAGACCTCTGCAGTTCTTGCTGTTCCAAGGAACACTTAGAAAAACTAGGGAACGGCTTGATAGGCAGATCACAAGCACTCCGATTGGAAGGCAGAGGGAGTTGATTATTCACTTGCAAAGAGTGAGAACTATTCATAAGGGCAGCCTACTTGAGATAATATCAGTGCCAGAGAAATACTTGATAAAGCTCTGTGAGCAGTACTGAGGACCGTTTAGGTTGTTTTGGGTCTGTCCTCTCTGAATCTTAAGTGTTTAGATAATAAATCAAGACAGAAGCATCCTGTCTGTCTCACAAAAATAACTGCTGTCATTTCAGATACATAAGCGGTACCTTTTTTGGCAACTGCAACAGAAGACGACCCAATAAATCAGCAACCTCCTCTTAGATAAAAAGGAAATTGTAGGGACTTGGGAGAGATGTGTCTGCAGTATTGTTCTTTCACAAGATAAAAAAAGGATCAGAGAGATGTTTACATTCCCATCCTTCCCTTCACTTTTACCCCAGGGTCTCTGGTTATCTGTTACCTTTTTACTGAGTGCAGCTGAGACCAATTACTTTTTCTGTGATTACTGAGGTCAGATCTTAAGTTAGATGTGTAGTACAAATATTTCTTTGAGATATAAGGAAAAACAGATTGCCAAGAAAAAAGAATCCATTCCATTGCAGATAGCAATGCTCCAGAGAGCACTAGCTGAACATGCCACCTTCTTAGCATTTCTAATATGCTAACTGTAGAGAAATATCAGAAGAGTTTCATTTGATTTTAAAGATAGTTTTAAAGTACTTGAAACTGCTGCATTGCTGCTGCATTGCATAGTTCTTATATGTAATGTAGACTGTTGTGGGAAAAGAGGAGCTATAATGCTTGAAGAAAAGCCATAATTCAACACTTTTCCCTATATTTTTATGAGATGATATGCAGCAAGGTAACAATATAGGAGAACTCCTCTGGATTAGTAAGACTGTCTCCCTGCTCCTCTGGCTGTTTTTTTAAAACCAGAATTATACTGTTAGTTTTAGACAGGCTGTGTAAGCCAGAAAAAATGGAATAAAGTCTGCATCTATTTAGTCAGTTTGAAATAGGTAAATGAATTATACCAGTGGCTTCCTGTGGAACATTTTGTGTTCCCTCCTTTCTTCCTTGCCTCCCCACCCCAATCTAATTGCAAACCTGCTTTTATAAAAGAGATAACCTTAATGTAATGATGATCAAATATAAATGATGTGTACTTATCAAATATAAATGATGTGTACTTATCGAAGTAAAACTGGTAGTTTGGTAAATGTGCTGGTACATGTTTTCCTCTGCAGTCATGGCCAGAATGGTGCAAATAACTGGACTACAATGGCATACTGCCACTACCATCTTTGGGAAACGATGGCAGTAATTGGAAATCCCCTTTCCAACCATCAGAAAAAAACACCTGCCCTAACGATCAGTTTCCTATTAAATTTCAAAGCAAAGGTGAATGGAAGAGCCTTCTCAGAAGTTAGTAGATTATTTAGATGAATAAATATTCAGAAAAAAAAAAGTGGATATACCAACAGCTTATGAAAATGATGTGCCCATTGAGTTCCTGGGCACATCAGAAATAAGAGCTTCCATTTGCTGCTATTTATCAGACATGCTGTTGATCAGACATACTGCTACTACCATCAACATATTTTTTCACAAGAAAAGCTGTTAGAAGAAGCTATTAAACTATAAAAATTATTCTTTTTTGATAGACCCCAAAGGCTACAAATCACACTTGGGCTCTCATTTCCAGACTGGTGGAGTCTGGTTATGTTAGTTCTTTGGCAATTGAAACTCTGAATATCTGGATAACAGTAGTCAGCTTGATCCAGTTCAAAATTCCCAAACTGCTTACTCCCTAAGAGTGACTCACTTGCAGTGATTGTGAAAACCTGAAGTTTTCTGTTTTAAGAAATCGTAGAGAAGTAATTCAAAAGAAATTGGGTGTTGAAAATAATTTAGAAGATGATCTTAGATGATCTCTAGAATCCCCCCTACCCTCAACCATTCTTAGAAAAAGTTTCCATTTGAGCCACTTTGAATTCTAGAAAATGATGGCAGCTGAGAATTAGGCCAATAGACAACTTCTTTTTTTCCATATTTTCCGTTTCCAAAATTATGATTGTTTATTGCATTGATCATCTAACTCCTTCCCTCCCAATACATATATCAATATTGAAGTGTGACTGTAATACTTAAGTAGTCTGAATCTTTCACTCTAGCACACATACTGCTCAGACAGGAGTTGTGTTTGGAGCTGTGTTTTTATTATATCCCAGGGAATATTCTGCATTTGATGTTTCAATAACTTAAGATGTCAGTCAGACCATTCTCAATTACAATGCAGCATATAATTTCCAGTATTTATGAGACACCACACACTAGAGTAGGTGCAGGTAGGCATTGCTATAGACTTTCTATACCACAGGGTATATCCCATAGGCTTGGAAAGGATGCTTTTATTTTTTTTTCCACAGATCAGGTCCTTCCCTAATCAGGAAGGAACATCCAGGAAATAGATTTAGTGAGGTTCCTTTTGTATGTCAGTGATACTATTGATTGTTGGGAGGAGTACTTTGATTTACTTTGTGCCTTTAGGTCCTTAATGAGCAGCTAAAGAGGTGAAGCAGAACCCAGTGTCTTGGGGCTCAGAGTAACATGCAAGTATCATATGTTTATACTACACAATACATTCAGAATAACTGGACAGCGCTGTCACTGTTTTCAGTGGAGAAAGTGGTATGAAATACTCTTCTGTCTATGGACAGGTGGCCAGCCACCAAAGTAACATTGGTTGTGCCTTTTCACAATCAGTCCTGAAAGTTTCTAGAAGGTAAAAATGAACTGCCTCAACATATTCCTGTTCTTGAATAAGAAATCAGGGGATTAGTTTTTCTATCATTTATAATATGGAAGGCTTCAGAGGCTGAGCATTTTGTACAGCACGTAAAAAAGTCACATTTTCACTGTTCGAGGTTTATAGAAGTTTAGTTTTGGCATTTGCTGTGACTCCTTTTTCATCCCATGGTCAGGGAAGCCTTTTTGTATCTCACAGCCTGTCCCTCCAATTTCACAGGTCTTGTGACATATTTGTACAGGAAGAACTAACTTGGTTAGTGGTTAATTTTTAAGAAATAGGTTATATCCCCCAGTATAGATTGTTTTAGATTGAATTAATTAAAGGCAAGCTAAGAAAATGTAATGCTATTAAGGAAGTGCATATTCTCTGCAGGTGCTTCATTTATGTGAGGTCAATCGGACATTTTTCATTGATTGTCTAGGAATAATGGTAGTAACTATTTGTTAAAGATAGTCTTACATCTGTAAAGAACATATTTTCAGTTTCTCAGTGAGGTAACTTCCTTTTTTAATTTGATGATTATGTTGCTCGTCTGTAGCTCCAGGGGTTTGTTTCAGATTCCCAGGGCATAAGGATTCTTTTGTCATATTTCTCTTTACAAAGGCATATCATTTTTGTTGAAAGTTAAGAGACCTGGTGTCCAGAAATCTCTGTCAGCTAAAAGCTACATGGAGATTTCTTTCTGTATTCTGATCTTAAGTCTCCTTCACTCGGCAAAGGGGACTTGGAAGAGGAAAGCTCCAAATTTCATCCATGTCAGAGGGAGTACGTATACAGGTGGCCTTGGAATTGCAAACCCCATTCAGAAGCCCATTTCATTGGCTTCTCTGTGCAGATACTGTATGTCACCTACTCCCTATTTGTTTACTAATTCAGGTGCTTCAATTTATAGTCCTTATTCAGATAAAATACCCAAACGAGAACCAACTGCCTTTAATTTCTGTTGCAAGAATATTGTGAAACTCTTTTAAAAGGCTTTATAAGTTAAGTTAAGCTTTCAAAACTCTGTGGAGAAAAAAAAGATACTAAACAATTGTGCAGTTTTCTGAGGTCCGAATAAACTAAACAAAGCTTAATTGATCCTACTTCTCTGTTAACAGTTCTGCTGTACTAAAAGTGCTTTTTTTTAGGTCCTGACATATTCTTCGTAAAAATCACATTAAGTTTTAAGTGATGCCTGATACTGCAGTAAAGTAATGGGTTGTTTTCTCCTCCTCTTTTGGGCAGTTTTGGTATGAATCATGATGGAATTGGAAATTCCTGTGGGACCAAAGGTCACGAAGCAGCAAAGCTAATGGCAGCTCATATTACAGCAAACACCAACCCTTTCTCTTGGTCAGCCTGCAGTCGGGATTACATCACCAGTTTTTTGGAGTAAGTAATCTCTCAAGAAAAATGATAAATTGTTCCAAAAATTCATGTCTTTTAGAATAAATAGTTGATGGAACTACAGTGACCTTTTCTAATAATTTACAATTTTAGGATTAAAAAAACCCAAAACTATGAAGAGTCACTGTCGTATTTTTTTGTATGTAATAGCAAAAGTTTCTGCTGCATTCTTAGTCTCACAATTCTCATTTTTTATCTATTTATTTAAACCTTTTTGAAGTGCTGACCATATCTCATTACTTCATTAATCTGAAGGTAAGAAATAAAAAGGAAGAACAGGGAAGTATATTTTAAAATAAATAAAATAAATGCACAGTGTCAAGCAGTCTAAGAGAACAGCGTTCTATTCCTGTTCCCCCCCAAATTACATTTTCCTGATTATGTTAATAACTTAAATTTGTTTTAAATTACCCTAATTGGGTAGTTTTTATCCAGAAATCCTTTTTTTTTAAAACTCCACAATAAAAATACGTTAGTCACAAAAATGTACTGATTATTATACATTGGCATATCTGATGCATAATGAAGCCTTTGTTTGCAATTTATATTGAGGAAGATAAACACCGAAGTAGAGTGAATTCACTGAAAGTAGATTAATAACAGGACTTTTAAAAATGTGTGTTGCACAGGGGCTTCATGAAGGCAAACTGCAGTTTTGAGGTAGGTCAGTGTCATCAGGGCAATCATTCCTTTAAGAAATAACGATAGTTTAATAGTTCAGATACTTGCTATGTTGTAGGAGGTAGACTTAAACCAGGCTTAAAACAGTCATCTGACCACTGAAGTACAATGAACAAAATGAGCTGCTTCTCCTCTTTTAGATATCTAACTTCAGAATAAGGTACTGTATGTCTTACAGACTTACCTGAACCCATCCAGGCAAGTAATATTTGCTTTTTTTTGATAATAATGTAGCTCCCCACGCAGTATACAAGCTCATCAGTTTGTTCTGTGTAGGTGCATAGGCTCCATAAAGAGTCAATGGACAATTTCGTGTAGATATTAGGCACTGTTCAGATGAATGCAATTCTCTTCAGTTACTCTGTCAGGGTAAGGGACTTTGTATCATCCCACTGAGCTATGCAGTTGCCTTTTATGCATTGTGGTGTTTGGGATGACTGCCTAAACTAAAGTATGCTGACAAAATCATCCTACAAATATCTGTGGTACGTGTTTCTCAGAACATAAATTATTTTTCTGATAAGAAATACCTATGCATTTATTTTAACACAAGTTAAAGGAAAATCTAGACAATGCCATCTTGTTTTATCACTGCTAATCACTTCTGCCAATGCACTGGTGTCCATTCCCTTCAGTATTCTTTCTGGTATATTCTCAGTCTTGTCTTGCCTTTATTTGTCACTCTCTTTTGAACTCATTTTTCTGAAGATATCTTGTCTATAGATGAAGATGTTATTCACCAGGTAGTAAAGCAGTCATTCCTTTTCCACTTATGGGTTTGAAGAAACATGTAGTGAATTCTACAGCTTGAGTTATGCTGCCAGAAGAGGTCAGCAAATTTGATCAGAGTGGTCCTTCGTTGTTTTAAATTTCAGTCTGGATGAACTTCCTTGTTTCTTAGCTTGATGCCTCTGCGTAGTAGTGATCTTTTTACTGTATCAATTTTAAAAAATTACCTTGCGGCTTTACTACTTTGTTACATTTTTTTTCCTGTATTATTTACCCTTAGTATCTCCCTTATTCTCTAACATTCTTTGTGTTTCATTTGCTGTAAAGTTTCAAATCAGCTATAAACTCTTTGCGATAAAGTCAGTAAGATACCACTGAAATTGCAATTTTGCTAGCATAAATACAGTGTAGTATGCTGGCGAATCTGTTCACGTAATCCTAATCTCCTCAGATTTTTTGAGATATTTCTTTATTATTTGCAACTCTTGATAAATTAGTGCCATCTCTGAATTCTATAAAAATTATTATTGGAGATCCTATATAGTACTTGAACTCTATAAATAATTCCAATAATAGGTTGCTTTTTATAAAGTTATGCTGAAAGCCCAAGAAGATTTTTTTTTTCAAAGTCACTTTGGATAAACATTGTTTTAGGCCTTTGAATTATTAATGGATTTTTCAATTGTGTAAGTTACATTGTTATATAATGTGCTAAGAGCCAACCACCTTCCTCACCTACTAATGTTATGTCCTGTAAAAAAACCTCAATATGATCTATTAATTATAAATCCATAGTGCTTATTATTCATGGCTTTAATAATCCCTAAATGCATGGATGACTCTTTTTTCCTTGAAATATTTATTGTATCATTTCACAAAGTAGAATAGTCTGCATCAGAATCTATTTTCTTTCCCCTGTAAAACTATACTTTATTTTCCCCAATTTTCGAGTGCTTTGCCTCCCAGATTATTCATGTAGTTTCCACAAAGGCAGCAGGAGCTGCCATTAATTAATGGAAGCTTTTAAAATATCAATTGCACAGATATGTGCAGCTGTCAAAAGCCAAAATTGCTTCTTTTTTACCCATTAACACCTTTCCTTGAGGCAGAACATCTTGAAGAGCAGAGGCGTATCTATTGCATGTCAACATCAGAGAGAAAGAAGCAAGGGAGAAAAAAAGAATTTCATGTTGCACCAATTCCTTGTATAGCAAAACAGTCTGCATTCTGAAAGGATGAATGATTCCATTTTTTTTCTGATACTAGCAACAAATGAGGAAAGGCTGATTTAGAGCTCTAGAGGCAAAGCCTCAAGACCCTGTCATTTCTGTCTGCATGTGCTTAATCCCAGATATATTAAACTCTGCCCTCTTCCTCTCCATTTTTCTCAAGAATGGAGAAACGCCAAAGACAAGAATCAAAAGACCACAAACAGGGATGAGAAGTACTTTTTCTGTGCATGGTGGGTATGGCTAGTAGGATTCATTTAGCTGTGAAAAAGGAAAATCTATGAAAAGGAAAACATGGTGGAGTGAAGTGCGGAAATGCCCAAGCAGCAGAAACCTGAGCCAGTGAATCTTTGTGACATATCACAACAGCTTTTGAATTTATTGGCTTGGGTCTGGATGCAGTCCATCTACATTATGACAGGGCTGTCATGGTGCCAGGGTAATGCAGCTGGAATGCATTCAGCCTGAAGCTGGGAAGGTGTCATAGTGTTACAAGTAAGGTACATCCATGTGGATTTGCCAGCTTGAGCCATCACTTGCTAAGGTATTTTTGCACAGTGCCCCATTTCACAGGATAGGCAAAGCTTTTCTGCACTTTCTCATCATGCACTGAAACAGAAGTAATCCTGGTGATACTCAAAGGGTATTTAGCTTCACCTTGCACTTTCTCAAGACTTTCTAAAAATTACATCCAGACGTAAATTTCACAGACTTGGGACAAATAGAAGAAATTAAGGAACAGCCATTAAGTGTCACTGGGAAGATACCAGTTCAGCCAGACACTGCTTAAGAAAACTTTATTTTGCACAATGACCTGGTAGAGGATGGAAGTGACTGTAAGCGTGGTAATAAAGGCAAAGCAAAGCTGTATAGTTAAGAGTGACCCAAGCTCCCAAGACAGAGGACTAGCCAGCAGAGGTTTGAAATGGCCATATTTTGTAACTGTGGGAAAGGCTTTCCTAAAGCAAGTGCTATTTTTCTGCGAAAATCACTTATTCTAGTATATGATAAGCTGCTCTTTGTCAACCATTATGTTAGGCTGAAAGATTGGAGAAGTGTTGATAAAATGCTTTACAACAGCTTCAGATTTCTCTAAAATTTTATGGAATTAAATGCAAAAATGCTCCCTGAGAGCTGAGCATTTGGTGAGCAGTGTCAGAGGACAAAGGTTCCTGTGAGAACAGCAAAAATCTTCAAATATATTTTACAGGAAAATTAATGAACTCTAAATGAACCCATGTAGTGAATGAATGGATAGTGATATTAAACTAGTCATTTTAAATTTCATTCTATGCTACACATATATATACTTACCCATCTATAGAGCATTCAAGTTTCATTATATGCAAAAGATATTTATATAGTGTGCATTGTTATCTTTAGATCAGTGAGCAATCTCAAGACCATACTCCTTTTGGCATTTATAATCTACTCTTAGTGTCAGTATTTTGGGATATTTTCCTCAACCACTAAAGGAATTATATTCTTTTGTGTAGGTTGCTGAGATATTTGGGAATAGATATATTAAAACATGAGCCTAATTAGGAAAACTCTACATACATAGTTTTCACATTCTCTTCAGAGCCTTGGCTATAGAAGTGGTGTCTGCACAGATGCCTTAATCCATCATTTAGGTCATGAGAAGCCTCTTACTCTCTCTTAAAAAAAAATAAGTGCTCTAATGGGGATAAGAAAGATCTCTTGACTTTATATATGCTACCTGAATACGATAAAATCATAAAATGTGAAGCTAATTCCAAGGAAAATTTTTCTAAAATTGCAGAGATTAAGGTATTGGGGCATTATTTTCCCTTTCATTATCTTTTTTTCACATCTACACATTGTTTGTTCATTTACTTTTTTCACTTTCATACATGATGATTACTCTTAGATCTCTAGAAAGTCCTCCAATACCTTTATTCATCAGACACCTTTTTGCCTTGTTCTCTTAAGATTTAGCAGAAATCTTGGTTCTAAGATATCTTGGTTTTGCGTTGGTGCAATGAAGAGAAAGGGGGAAGATAAGGGATACAGGCTCAAGAGTATTACAGCACTTCTGAGTCCAGGAGAAGTTTTCTGGAAAGGTTGCAAAGATCCTTACTGTGTTATTCTTTTTGTGCATGGATTTGGTGAGACCCTTGATTACCAATGAGGGAATGACCTTGTTTCATGACTGCTTTATAGCACTTGCTGTTTTTTTTCAAAATACTTCAGTTAACACAGTACAGTGTCACATTCTTATACTAAGAACATGTAAAATGTGTCAATTTTGTCCACGTACCTTGAGAGAAATAATAGAACTGAAGCAGAAGGAAAAAGAGAAACAAATTTTCAGTCTGGAAAATG